TTTCAAGTCTTAACGGATACACTGATTTTCCTTAAAAAATTTATATATATATTTTTTATTTTAATGTAGACGTTTGTGTGGAAAATTATACATAAAAGGAGAAACACAACAAGTAGATCGTATCTTGGAAGCATTTTCAATACGTTATTGGGAATGTAATCCAAAATCAATATATGGTAGTGCTGGTAAGTATTCCGCTATTATATGCGATGATAAATAGATTATCAATATATATGTTATACTGTGACATTTAATTACATTTCATTCAATTTATTCTTGATTTTAGACATTGTTCATGCAATCGCATATTCGCTTCTACTTTTAAATACCGATCTGCATATTGCTCAACTTTCTACTAAGATGTCACGTCAGCAATTTGTACGGAACACTATGGCTGCAATCCATGCTCAAATCAACCTGGCAATGCAAGGTCATAATGAATCATATGAAGATGATCAAAGTACAATAACGTCTGTTGATACAAATGTAACTTCTAGTACATCAGTTACTGCACGTCCACGTCGTAGCGCAAGTATTAAAAGCTGGAGAAGCAACACAAATTCAAGCATGGCCAGCTTACAATTCATACCTCCTAGTTTTTCACGGCAATGGGATTCGGAATTAGAATCCCTTTTAAAAGAAATGTATACAGCCATAAAAACTAATCAAATAGTACAGCCATTTACTGAACCTGAAAGAGTACAATCGGATTCGAACACTCTTTCACCAACAATACAACGTAGTATGAGTCTTTTGGGACATCAAAGCTCTAGGATTAATGCTCTTAAGAAAGGAATCGCTGCTGCTAATGCGAGGACTCGCAAAAATGCAAATGGTAAAGTTTCACCAAGTCCTAGTTTTGGAAGCATTGGTAGCGATTCAAGCCTCGGAGTAAGAACTAATATTATTTACTTGTTATTTGTATTCCATATAATGTTATGACTTATTTAACACGTTATTTTTTTTTTGATAAATTTAGGCTGACAGTTTGGCTCGTTCAAGTTCTCAGACGCTACCTACATTATCTTCATTTTCTTTACGTCACGCATCTTCATCAGAGACTGCGCTTACGTCTACAATAGCCGAATGTAATGAAGATGACTTTGATAATGACAGAGCATCCATTGATTCAACATCCACTTCCGAGTCATTAGAGTTATATTTATCTGGTGCACCATATGCCAAAGAGGGATTATTGGTCAGAAAGCATTATTGGGATTCTACAAATAAAAGGGCCAAGGATAAATACTGGAAAGAATGCTTTGTAGTTGTCGAAAAAGGTGAAATACGAATGTACAAATTTGATACTCAAAATTCGACCGGTTCACCTGGCGCTGGTGCGATAGGTGGAGGAAATTGGATGGTATATCACCTTAAAGTTAATATATAGTCATCATATATTTTATTTTAATAAATCTTTTGAATTGATATAATATTAGGCAAATGCAACTGCTATGGGTGAAGTAAGTCTCCGTCACACTATTACCAATGCTCTACCTCCACCTGGTTATAATCGCTCTCGTCCTCATGTATTTGCACTTTCGATGTCCAATGGTGGTCTCTACTTTTTCCAAGCTGGTACAGCCGAATTGGTAGATGAATGGGTATTAACATGCAATTACTGGGCAGCAAGAATGAGCAAAGAACCTTTAACTGGTGGAGTGAGTAACATGGAGTATGGTTGGGGTAGATGTTTAGAACCAATCCTCGATGGTGACGAATTGTCAGACAGGAAAAGTATAATGAGTGACCATCGTAGTATAATGAGCGGTGGGTCAACTTATTCTACTGATCGGATTGTTGTTAATGAGTGGAAAGCACCAATGCCGCCTAGTGTGTCTAGTAATCTTGATGAAGTATGTGGTTCGCCTTTTTTTTTTTTTTTGGAAAAAAAAAAAATATATATATATATAATAATAATAATAATTTGAATAATAATACAATTTTATTTTAAAGGCTGGACAACTTGCCGCTCTGAAAAAATATAAAGAAGATCTTGAAGAAGAACTAGAACAGCATAAGAATTTCTGGGATCCTATGTCAAAATTGGTAATTTGATTTTATAGTTTATTTTTACGCTTATATGCAGATTATTTTCATTATTAATCTATTTTATTGCCAATATTCTGAATTTTAGTTTAGTCCACGCTCATCAAATCACACCAAAGCTTTCTCTAATTGGGAGAAAAAATCTCAATGGTTACTATATGAAAT